GACTATATTAAGATCAATTCAGACCAGATAAGGGTAAACGAAAAAATATTTATCAGATTACGTGTTACTTTTATCCAGCAAATAAACTTTAGTGCCATCCTATCGTGGTTAATATATTTATTACCCGGGCATAAACATCAAATCATTTCCAAAGAAATACGTACTCTCGGATCTACATTCTCGCTTATTTTGGGAATGAATTGAATAATTTTATCTCAGTTATACGATCATTTAGTAAAATAATGATTCTCTGTTCCTGAAACAAATTTGATTTATTCCGGAAAAATTTTACAAAATAATTACTAGATTTAAAAGGTTTCTAATTTTCATGTGTATAAATGAAAATATTTAAAAAACTGCAATTATATTTTACAAAACAAAAGGAAAAATTTAGATTTGGCGTCGAAATAACAAAAAAAGAAAGAAAAATGCATGTATATATAAATATATTATTTCGAGCATTACACTTCAATAGCTTCATCTTCTATTCCTTAAAAAGAAAAAAATAGCCTATTGAAACTTATTTGAAAAGAAAATTAAGTTTAAGTAATTAATTGAGTTTTTTTCCTTGGGAATCACCTTAGGGTAAAAAACTCCAACTCTATTTTTTTTTCTGCCTTGTAATACCTTAGAACCTTTTTCTCCCCCTTGGAATTAAAACTTTTATTTGCCAGCTTTATTATTTGCCTTTTTTTTTACGAACAAGGCTTGATAATGTCTTAGGAAATGTTACAAAAACTATCGTTCTCTTATCAGTTATATAGCAATAACGTTATAATATTACAAGCAGTAGAGAAATAACTGGGGGAAAAGAACAAGTTTAATTTATTTTAGAAGTAGCGACTTAAAATTACCGTGTCTTAATCTTATTTTTTACCAAATTGTTTCTGATGATGTAGTGTCTTCTTATTGAAATTTTTCTCTTAATAGAAATAAAAACTTGGTTACTAAGGAATTGTTTAGATTTGTTTATGATCCCTTATGAAATAGCTGTCGAAATTTTAACCGTAAGCCGTGCTATGGTGTTGTATACCTGCCATACCAATTATTGGTAAAAGAGCTTGCCTTTTTCGAACAATATAGCAAATAATATATTTTATTTCATTTTAAAACCGTCGTTGAACAGCCGACCCAATTTTATGGGTTTACGACTTATAATGTTCAACTCCGTAGCCTTGTAATTTTGAACCCAATCCAGAAGACAAGGGAACTCCTGAATCGAGTATTGGGAGAAATTTGCCTTTGTGGAGGACTTTTTGATGGAGCTAACCCGCATTCGCGCTACGTGGAGAGGAAGACCACGAGAACTTCTCACGGTTGGCCTGATGGCAAGGGACTCTAACCCATGATCCGTCTACCACTGAGGATATTTCACGTCAGCATTGTGGTCGGTGCAAGCCGTGTGCGGAATTTGCACCGGTGAGCCACCGCTGTGAAGCGATTTTAAGTCCCCTCATTGGAAGAAGGGCGCTCTATCCCTGAGCCACCACGGCTAGAAGCAAGTAAATCGTAATAGATATTTTGAATCTATTCAATCTTGAAAGGAAAAAAAAGGGCAAAAAAGTTTATGTAAAATCATAATCAATCACTACAAAATAAAAGAAACGCACAGATATTGATGGAAATATGTACAAATTAAATCATATATTCATCAGGAGTTACTTTACTTTAGATTAAAAAAAATCACTAAAAGTCAATGCCATTTGAATCACACAAAAATTGTATGATGAGCTATCCAATCAATCATCGAAATGAATGAGTCCTCAATTTCCAGAAATTGATATTTTATCTATTTCAGAGTTGTATATGAAAAATCTATTATGCTTGCTGTCAGTCAATAATTTATCTGCAGATGTGAAGAAGAAAGTAATGACTTTAGGATTGCGTTTTAATTGAAAGAAAGTAATGAGTTATCAAAAAAAGAATTTTTTCAGTGAAGGTCGTTAAATTCTGATTTCCTTTCAAGTAGAATAAAATATCGATGAAATTGATTTTCTGCCATATCAAATTAGAACGTGATGCGTTTGTTTGTTTGTTAACTGGAAAAAAATCTAAATTATAATAAAAAATCTGCCTTTTTTTATAGCTATTTGCTGTAAGAATCAAAAATGACGCTATAAAAAGGTTTGTTCCTAGATTACGTGAACACTTAACGGGAGAGGGGATTGCTTATTTTTGTTGATAAGAGGCAAGATGATCAATGCTTGCATAAGACATTAAACTCCCCTTATATTCAAATCTTTTTAAAAAATGCAGGAAAAAAAATTTAGCAAAAAATTACACTCAGAATTTGAAATTAAATTCGGGAAAAAAAGTGAGAAAAAAATTTCTTCCAAGAGCTTCAGAGATCGATATTTCTGACTATAGAATGAAAACACGATAAAATATTCCTGTTTTCAGAATATTGTACACAAAATTTTATAAAATGAAATATTTGTTTTTTGTAACTACAACTTTAATTGAACTTCATCTTAAAATTAGATTATTATAATAAAAGTCAAAATAAAAACAAAAAAATGAAAAATTAAAAAAAAATAATAATAATAAAAGTAAAAAAAAAACGAAGGATTGCTACTTTCTCGCATAAGCATGGGGGATGGGTTATAATTTGCTTATTTCTGTTGGGAAGGGAGGACTCCAAAATTGCCAAAACATGCTTATGTAATATTGAATTTTTCTTAAATTTTGTATTTTCCATTTGTAGTATTTTTTTTTCTTCCTACTTATTTTTAATTAAACTAACTAGTTTTAAAAATTATTCAAAGCTTCATCGTGGTTATTATTTTATTATAGCTGTAATTGTGTCGGGAATAAGAACATTTGCTGTGCTTTTGTGATGAGAGAAAATGGAGAGAAAAAACCAACACTTCTGAATAAAAATACAAAAAATAATTTATTAAATTAAGAAAAAGAGACTGTATAAAAGTTTTTGCACCCGTCACAGTAAATAAACAAAAACAGCACTCAATAAACTACTATGCGTATCTCCCAAAATAAATAAACTAACAATTCAATGGCAAAGCTAACTTTGGAAGGGGAAGTTTACAGAATTTCATCAGGCAGATGTTGTCCTTCCCAGGAGAGCAAAACTTTTTACAAGTAACAGTAAACATCAATCACAGCGCTTCACTTGCTTTTAAGTAAAGGCAGGTACTACCATACACAATTCCAAATTCTGTCTCCAGTAAATAAATCGGAGGAGGGAAAAAAAAGGATATGTTATCCAGTTTTTTTTTCTCTCTTTTTCCTCCAACTCCCATAGATTTTTATTCCGTGGGTAAGGAATGTGATACAACGTTTGGAGATGAGCCAGAAAGAGGAAATGGCTCGAAAAATCCTAACCTAATGAAAGCAATTTAGATAGCATGAAAGCAAAGAAACAAAAACAACAACCAGGCGTGACAGCATAGTTCAGTTACCAGTAGATAGAACCCTCCAGCGACAAACTGGGCTATTATGTGAGTAGTTAGCACGCCACGAGGAATAAACCTAGGGAATTAATCCATGTTTTTTTTTTTCTTTTCGCCATTAAGAAACTTTAAATCGTGGCCATCAAATTTTTAATCCATTTATGCTCTCTTCTTTTTAATAGAACCACTCCTTTTCCAAAAAAATATAAGTGTTGCAGCCCTTGTGTATCATTATTAAGATTTGTTTTTGTCGAAATAAATAGTTCTTGTCTACAAAAATACATTAATAACATAAATGTTAATTTTTGGATTTAAAGTCGCAGCAGTGCTTTTTTAAAGATAAAATGTAGGTGACAAAAAGAAATATCTACTTGGTTTTTAAACAAAAAAAATTAGGCATTACTACTTTTTTTATTTCCTTCTAAGACCAGAGCTTTAAGTATTTGTAATGGCAGGAAAGGAAATACAATTTTTATTTAGAAATATGCAGCTCAAAAGAAAAAAAATGAAATGCCATAAAAAATGCTAAAGAAAACTCAATTAAATAAATTCGATTGTTATTTAATTAATCTTGACTAAAGCACATTTTTAGTGCAAATTGATAATGATAAATTTTAATTTTTAGCATTCTTTCGCATATTGTAGGACATTTTTGTACATATTGTAGGACATTTTTGTATTTCGCATATTATAGGACATTTTGCAACACTTTTTGCACAAATGAAATGTGTAATGCGGATAAGTCTATAGCTTTAAGGTTTTCATAAGATAATTGTCTTTGATTTTCATCAAAAAAGTTATAGGAATTTCAGTGTTATTTTATTTCTTGGTATGGCAACTCCATTTATCTTAACAAATCCATGTTTGCATAATTGAAAATATTACAGTAACATTATAAAGTCAGTAGCAGCAATCAGTAAAATGGATAACAAACATTGAGTTATAAGTAAGGTGACCTTAAATCTTGGGGACAATCATCAAATTTCATTAATTGTCCTAAAAACCTTTCAAACTCTTTGAGAACAGAAAGGGTCCTTAAATTTTAACACATGACCTTGAATTTCTTCTCAAACATAAAATCTTTTTCATAGGCAGCAAAATATCAACGAAGGAAAGAAGAAGAGAAAATTTTGAAATAAGATAATTTTGTCTCACAGAGAATACAAATGAAAAACAAAAAAGCCCCATGCTAACAGATGAAAACGCCATACTATGTCTTACAATAATTTCAGTAATAAATAAAACAAATTTTAATAATCATATACTCATTCATTTTACATGCCTTCAAAGACAGAATATATGATATTTCAAAACTGATTAGTAATGAAATAAGATTGAGGAAGAACGTTAAGTTTGATGAAGAGCACAAAGCTGATATTAATTATTAATTTTTTAAAAAAATCTTAGTTGCGCATGTAATTAAAAATTTATACAAATATATGGGCGTGCTTAAATTGTGAAATTTTTAGAGGAATTTTGGAGGACTTGTCCTCAAATCATGTTTTATAAATCTGGTCACCTTATTTATAAGGCTTTTTGAACAAATATTAGCTTTTGAAAGAAAATAATTAAAATAAAACTTCTACTTACTATTATAAAGAGAGTAATCCAAGTTGACAGATGTTTTAGCACACAAATTACTTGGACCAGGCAATTGATCACTTTTATCACGAGTTTGATTTTTATTATCTAACTCTTTCGAATCCAATTGATCCTTTGAGTCAATCCAAGCATCCGGCACTTGCTGCTCCCTGTAACTTTCACTAAGTGCAGTCCTCCACTCACGTGAGGATCTTTTAGAATCTTTCGAATCATATACAATATACCTACCATTCGAATCATCTGTTTCAGGTCTACGATCACAGAAATCAGAAGACAGACGATCCTGACAATCGGATATCTCATCTTTAGAGGATGAGTCCTCCATTGGGCTTTTGCCACTAGTGCCGGAGGAATCTTGCGTTTTGTACCAGGGATACGAAGCGTCTTTTCGTTCGAAATGCCTATTTTCCCAATTACTTATTCCTCTATGGTAACTGGAAATATTAGTTTTATGTTTCATCACAGAACTAGGGCTTGAAAGCACTGAGAATTCTTGAGCACTTTTATCACCGCGTTTGTCTAAGGGATCACTTTTTGTCTTGGCCTTAAACCTATGACCATTACTGGAATCTTTCGGCTGGTAGAGGAGGGGGGAGTCTTTCGTGAAAGAAAAACATTGTGCGTTAGATTCGTCTTTCACCGGTGGACTACTTCTATGGCGATCTATACAACATTCATCTACTTTGGAGTCATCAGTAACTTTATTATTTGGTTGAAGCGATTTTGACGTAGAGTTGTTGAATGCTGAATCATCCAAAGAGGATTTCGTGCTACCCTCTTTAAAAGGAGATCCGTTAATACTGAGATCACATTCGGGTGCTGAGTTTTGGTTACCATCAGATTCTGATCTTTGTAGTTCAGATTTCGAATCGTCAAGTTTCAAACTGTCTGACTGAGATTTCAAATCGTTTAACACAGATTTCTGAACATCACTGCTTTTTAAAGATCTCCTTTCTCGACGGTGATGGTGATTCCTGTGTTTGGAAACGACACCTTCTTCGCTAGCTTCTGAACTCTCGGTCAAGCTATCTGGCTTCTCTTTCGGGTTCAAATCACCTCGTTGGTTTTGGGTTAAACTATCTTGCGTGGTTTTGCTGAGCGACTGCCTAGGATGCACTTGGGGCTTTTCGTTTCCATTAATTGGAACCTCCACAGTGCGCCGTTCTCTTGGAGAAGATTCGATGTCACTTTGGCTTGATGGAAATCCGTTCGTTGGCTTATCTTTTGACCCTTGACGTTTCGGTGATACATAGCGACGTGTTACATCCGATTGCTGAAGTTCTCTCGTTGGTGACTTCGTACCACCTTTGTCCGCTATAGGGGGAGAAGAAGTCATGGCTCGCAGGACTCTGGCTGATGTTTCAACCCTGGTGACTGGATGTTCCTTTCCAACCTCTTGCAGCCAATGTCCTTCAGCCGTGCTAATAACTGTAGTATTGGTGGTGGAAGTGGGTGGCATGCAAGTTGTGATGACATTTCCAGCCATGACCGATACTTCTGCGGTAGAGCAGATTTCTTTTATCCTTTTGTTGGTGTCGGCAAGTTCAGCCCGCAGCCTTGACACCTGGAGATGAGCAGACTGTATGTCTTTGTCTATCCTGACGCCAAGGGCCTTGTTGTCGGACATCATTTTCTTGAATTCTTCTTGGGCGTCGATGAGGAGACGACGCGTGATAGCCACCGAGTAGTGACACTGGTGACTCCATCTGGGATCTTGACTTAAATTTCCATGTGACAGAGAATTTAAAAAGAAATCATAGATTTGGTCATTCAAAGAATCCAAGGCCTGGATGGCTGTAAAAAGAAACACGATTATTAGACACTGTTAAGAAATAACAATAATATGCATTGAATAACAGTTTGAAAAGTTTATAATCAGTTTTTCATTTAAAAATATTTCATGCATCAGTATTTAAAACAGACGAAAGTAACAAATATTTAGAATCGTTGAAAATACTTATCGTGCCTCACTTTTATTTTTAATAAATTCAACAATTTAACAGAATATAACATACTACGTTCGACGAGATTCATGTTATAAGAGATGCGCGATGCACTATTAAATTAACATGCAACACATAAAATCAGAAGTAAAAATATTTACTGATATAATAAGTATCTCCGTACTTGAATATAGCAAGTTTTATCATGTGAAGCTTTTAAAAACTCATAGTTCCTCAACACGTAATTACAATTTTTTCGTTTATAATTTCTAATATTTAATTGCTTTAAAATAATAAAACTAGAAGTGATCAGGTAATGAAAATGACATACCCCCATACAATTATTTTAAATTTTGCACTGTCTATTGAAAAAATTGAAGTAGAAATTTAAATAAATCTCTGGCAAGGACGGGCAAAAACTGCAGAGCGTATTTTAACATGGCGCACATTTTTAAGACGAAGATATTTCATCAGCTTTACTTCGAAACTTAAAACTTTTGATTCACAAAGAAAGATTATTTTTTAAAATATTTTTTACCTATTCCATTTCAATGATTTTTTTTATTTCAAGAGTTGAAAGAATAAAAGTTTTAAACAACATTTTAGAGAATTGATTAGCTTTAAAGCTTATACATTGTTATTAGGAAGTAAAGAATATACTTTGCCTTCATTTATTTTTCGTTAGCTTCCCAATTAGAGAAATCCAGAAATCCTAAACACTTAAATTTCGCACTCTTGACATTGAACTTTCTACCAAAAGACTGATTTTCTAAAGTAGGTTACTCGTCAATAGCTAAATGCGTTTAGAAAACATCAAAAACACACAAATTTTATCATTTAATACTTTCATCCACTAAGATTTTTCCAACCTTAATACTTTGGCACAGTTAATTAATGTTTCAATATCTAAAAAAAAAGCTTTTTCTTCGAGAAATCTCATGTAGCTTAAACCCATCATCTAATAAGCTCTTCATCAACTAGATCGATTGGAATTCCAATTATTATATTCGATGCCTTTAGTAAAGCGCATCCAGTAATTAAAAAAGAAATACAAAATTATTTTAAAGGAATTCCATCATGATCCAAGTGATTTAACTGGAGACGGTACACTCATCTATCCTACAGCAATCGAAAATTAATCTCCACTCAACTATTATTATAGTAGACTCAGGATCTCTTAGCAGCAATTTAATATCACTATGATAAAATACCCATCAATCCCTTCTCTGAATCGATCCAGATATACAGACGTAAGAGGCATAGCGAAAGATCTTCATCGATTAATAATGAAGATTCTGGTTGTTGAACTGCTCTGGCAATCCTCCATAAAGTGGAGATCTTACTCAGGAGACAAGACTCCAGGAGTTGACAAAATTATCAAAACTCCTTCTCGACGATTTAAGAGATCTGACGGCTTCAAGTCAGAAAAGTAATGTGGATTGTCATTCGAGAATGAGATAAGACCTCGCCTAGAGTAATTCCCATTCTCCGCGGCGTATAAAAGTAATTTGAATTCATCACGGTAATAACAATCAAGTTGATTGGAGAAGTACAAAAGAGGTCTTTTAAATTTCAACAAGTCGTGGGAGTTGAGGAGGATTTTTTGAGATTAACTTTAGAGAGCAATTTCGAATGATTTATTCTATGGTTAATTTGAAAGGCTGCAACACATTTTATGTTTATAAAAAAATATAAAAAATAAAAAAACTAGCGGGGTTTATGTTATTTGATTAAAATACTGACGCGACTAGCATTTTACTATGGCTCGATTAAAGCAAGATATATATTTTTATTTATAAACAAATCGTATGACTAAATTTCAAGAAATAATAGTTTTTTTTTTTTTTTTTTTTTTTTTTTTTTTTTTTTGAAAAATAAAATAGAGTGCCTTTTTCTACAATTATATAGCTGCCATAAATATAGTTACAAAACAGTATACATAATTTTTATTTTGTTTGTAGCAGGTACATCACTATGCAAATATTAATTTTATGCATTTGGAAAACTAAGCATTATAGAGTACTAAATGTATCCAGTTTACACAAGCATCAATGGAAATTAATGGAACAGTACAAAGAGATCAAGAAAAAAAATTAAAATAAAACAATTTTGGAAACGTCGGAGAGTTAGTTGATTTTTAGTTAAGATAGTTTTTGTTTTATTTTAAGTTGCGTCCGTTACGGGAATTGGAAATGAAATAAGTCTAATTTATATTTCGATGATATTTAAAATAAATCGTTTTTATATACATAAATAATGGCTCCTCAGATTCGGTACAACATTATCCAATAACACATATTAATGCGAAGGAAAACCAGAAATAATTATTAATTAATTGTTCAGTTAACTAAAATTTTCTCAATGAACTAATTAGCGTCCTTATATGCATTAGAGCGTATTTAATTTTAATGTAATTATTCATAACATTTAAAAGTTAGCCTCATTTAGTATTAAAACGGTGTCAATGTTTTATATGTGCTTTATAACTATTTCAATAATAACTCGTGTTTCAAATTTTTATACAATTACTGAACGAAAACCTGCCAAATATCTTATAATTTTTATTTTATTGCGGCATTATAATAAGTTTTTAAAATGATAAGTTAATAGCATCAAAATGGAATATTTTAATCGCAATATAAACAAACAATCAAAGTTCATAGACGAAATTTTAATATATAAAAAATTTCCTTTCGAATTCCAATTTAACTTGTTGAAGTATGCTGTTATCTTCCAAAATTACTGCTTTCTAATACGAAAACGCACATTAACTTCAAAAATAAATTGAAACACATTTTGAGTACATACTGAACTTTAAATTTCCTATGATTAACTCAGACAATCTAAAATTCTTATGATATTCGACTGCATAAACTTTCTACTCTCATATATCTGCTACGCATTTATACATTTCTAAGTGAAAGAATGTCTGTGTATGTGTGTCCTTTATAGATTCCTAAATCATACGACCGAAAGCGATGAAATCTGGCATACAGATAGTTCGAAACACAAGGTAGGTCACAGTCGAAATAAGAACATTCTGCGACGGACCTCTCGAGCGGGATGAGAGAAAAACTAAATGGAACTTTCTGATTGGTTATTAAGCCATTGTTTTAAATTTAACTATAGTATTAGCTTATTAAGTCTATTTGATCAATATTGCACAATGGTTTAATATTAAATATTTTTATTCACTATACCAGATAAATTCAATGAGCAACATAATAAGAGCCGTGGAGGCTCAGAGGATAGAGAGCTCGCCTTCCAACGAGGTGAACTGGGTTCGATCCCAGCGATGGCCTGGATTCGAATTCCACACCTGGCTCGCACCGACTACAGTACTGGTGCAAAATATCCTCAGTGGTAGACAGATCATGCTGTCTACCACTCCACGTACTGTTAGGCTAAGTGTGTGAGGTTTTCGTGTTTTTCCTCTCCATGTACAGCAAATGCGGGTTAGTCCCATCAAAAAGTCCTCCATGAGGGCGAATTCCTCCCAATAGTTAATCAAGGAGTTCCCCTGTCTTCTGTATTAGGCTACAGAGTTGAACATTGGTAATCGTAAACTCAAAATTGGGTCGGTTGTTCAAGGACAGTTATAAAATGAATAAAATTAACGTGGCAGCACTCGTAATAAATGCCCTTCTCACCGTAATGAAATAAAGCAAAGTAGAAAAACAAAACAAGTGACGATCACAACAAGAAAAGAAATATTTTATGAACAATCATACCACAATTAGGATTATATTTACATCAGTCGAGCAAACTGAAAACCCCCAAGCAAAACAGCCAGCCACGGGCATTATCTTCCCATATTGGAATGAGGATGACTAAATCCTCTCACTCTTTCCATCCTCATCCCTCTGTCGCAAAAAAGACATCATCATCTATCAAATCCGAGACCAACACACATACATGTGACCAAAAAGTATCTTCAGCATCCTTCTCTGAATCGTCAATGCTTTTCCGGATACTCTCGACAGGCGGGGAAGGGATGCCTCATTTCGAATTCCTCTTCGTACTCCTCTCTCTTCCCCCATCCCCATCAATCGAATTTTTGATCCCACTCTCAGTGTGCCGAGTAAGTATTTTGCTCGCGTGCTGCACACACTCTCGAAAAGCGCTTTCTTTAATCTTGATAGAAGTGCTAGCACAGTTTTGAACTGTTTTATCACCTATCGGGAAGGTAAGATAGAGAGTTTAAAAAAGAAGATACAACTCTCGAAATAGCCAGTTATTTAGATAAAGTAGAAGATCAAAGAAGTTATTGTATTTTATTTCTTTTACTTTGAAGTCTTATTTGTCCGGAATTTCTTAGAGTTTAAGCGTGCCGGACGAATATCGAATTTATGGAACATCGAGTAAACAAAGTTTGTTTTTAGTCGGCAATAAATATTTTAATGGTTTCATTATTAATATTTTAATGGTTTAGTTATTATTGGCACATTCTTATTAACAGTCTGTTATTCATATAAAATGGAAGATCGAAAAAAAAAGTAATNTTTTTTTTTTTTTTTTTTTTTTTTTTTTTTTTTTACTTTGAAGTCCTATTCGTCCGGATTTTCTTTTGAGTTTAAGCCTGCCGGATGTTTAAAGGAATATCGAGTAAACAAGGTTTGCTTTTAGTTGGCAATAAATATTTTAATGGCTCATTATCACAGATAGTTATTATTGGCACATTATTATTAACAATAACAACCTGTTATTCAAATAAAAGGGACATGTATGCAAATGTACTTTGACTTAGCCTGAAAAGTACTCAAACTATCAAAAATAAGCTTAAATCTGAAAATATATAAGATTCCAAACAAAAAAAAGAAATCTTCAAATTGTATTTAATAAAATATTGGT